AAATTCAAGAAACCTGCAATTTGATAATCGGGGTTTTCTGCAATAAGTTAAATGATAATACAAATTAGGAAGATCTACAGATATAAATCAACAACACTTCTAAATACGGTAAAATAAAGATGCATTTAGCATTTATTACAGTATATTCCACTGCGTGTCCTCATTTCCCACCCATAAAATCCTATAACCAACGTTTTCGTACGAAAACATGTAGGTTGTAGGGAATACTGAGTGGGGCTACACAAGCTACTGTTGCCGTCCATCGTGTGCACCACGAAATAGACACGGCAACGACGACTTGCTTATGAATCAGACTATAGTTAGGCAGACTTAATCAGCATCTACGGCCCCATTTTAGTAACCTAACTCGGCGTGCAACGCTCCACCTCTCGCCTACTGCAACTGGTAGCACGTGAGTATCAGTGTCTGCCTGCCTTAATCCGGTCTGCTCAATCACCTTCAAGACTGACACCTGCACGACCTCACAATGACGACGGCCGCGTTCCTACATTTCGCAAGCTGCTCTATAGGCTGTGGTCGTGCACTCATTAGACTTTCAACTTTCTTCAACCTATTATTTACTAGTTCTGTACAGAATATACTATTCCTACTATCTGGCATCTCACTTCTGCTCTCCCCACACGGAACCGGGCCTGAAGATCACAGCGGCAAGAGTCTTTCCTATTAATTTAAGCCACTGTGATACTAAAATTCGAAAATGTCAGAAATCCGGGGTATGAATTATAATTCATTTTCTGCTCACCGGAATAAATTTGAAGATTTGCTGACGTTTCGGACAGCTGGGCCTGCTGTCCTTTGTCAAAGTGAATACTGACTTTTATCGATCGGCGGTTTAAATTTGCGGCTGTAAGTGTTGGCCTTGAGCTGATCGATTTTTCTCCGATACGTCGCAACGATGGTGACTGTAATTACGTTGGAGAAACAGGACGCAAATGGCAGACCTACCTACAAGAACACAAAGCGGCCGCCTGGAGACAAGACCCTAACTCGCAGCTTGCCACACATCGGAGAGACCGGCCACGACTTCGATATTCAAGGAACGACAATCGTAGGCCAAGGAGCCTCAAAAGCCGAACGATTGACGCTTGAGGCATGGTACTCAGACGCCAATTCTGTCAACAGGCATCTGGACCTCCCTGCGGCCTACAAAGTCCTGCGCCATTACGTAAGTAAAGGACAGGGCACGGCCAAACCGAAGTCAGGATTAGCAGATGAAGACAGCCCTGTGACGAAACCACCGGAGGAGGGAGCAGGATTATTAGTATCCTCTACAGTGGGGACAGAAAAGACCACCAATTGCCGTCACGCCAGGCCAAATTCCGCATGCAAAGCCAGACAGCGGACGGAGGAAAATCGATCAGCCCAAGGCCAACACTTACAGCCGCAACTTTAAACTGCCGATCAATTAAAGTCCATATTCGCTTCGACAAAGAATAGCGGGCTCAGCTGTCCGAAACGTCAGCAAATCTTCAAATTTATTCCGGCAAGACAGCGAACTCGATGCCTCAATGGTTAGGACGTCTGCT